TTTTTACCTTTATGTGTGGTATTTTTGTGTGTAATTTCACGTGGGATGGTTGTATTCACGGGCATCCTAACAACAAGGCATTCAAAGTGCTCCACATAAAACATAAAGGAAAATATTTTAAAAAATACATTTAAATACAATTAGAGTCAAACAGAAAATAAAAACAGGTTAATTTACCCGGTATACCTATTTGTTCACCCATAATTCTAATGGGTTATGATTAATCAGGCTTTTCACCTTTTAGTGTTTTGCTTTTTGATTTCCCATTTCTCACACTAGTCAAACCTGATCCACTTCATTGTACAATATTTCCTTAGGCCTGGGCTAATAATTAAATAATTAAAAATAAGGGCCAGATCTATTTATCCATCATTCTGATCTTGCATGACCCAGGGGAGGTCCAAAATGTTTCAGGGAGGCTAAATGAATTGAAGTGAAAATAATATTACATATCAAACAAGATCATATAGAACAGCCTAAATGTGTGTGATTTGGTTAAAGACAGAGTTCAGAGATGCAGCAGTTCTGGGGATTTTGTACTGACTCCCAGAATCAGGAACTAATAAGGCAAGAGAAGGTGGAGGAGTTATCTCCTGTTGCCATTGCCTCATCTTCAAGCTCAGGTTGGTATTGATATTACTGTTGAACACAGGACCTTACAACTTGCCTTTGTATTTCCAATTGGTGAGTCTTCATACAATAATTCGTTTTACCTGAAGAATATGTATGAAGCATAAGCATATGCATCTGATCTGATGATTGTAACGTTATTCCATTTAGATGGGTAACTAGCTAGGTTGCTACCAGGCTACTATAGTTTACTTTCAAAAGCGAGCAAAAATGACAAGCTAGCAACAAGTCATTACATGCTTCTATTGCAAGCAGCAAGAAAGGCTGCTTATATTCGATTACTATTAAATATATAAACCATCTAATTTTTTGTTTGTTGTATTTATTATTTGTCCGTCATTGCCCCCTACACATTTGTGTCAATTGTGTCACATTTGTGTAAAAGACAAGGTGATGAATCAACAAGAGTGAAATAATTCAAATGTAGACAAATATAAGACAATAAAAGGAGTGGAGTGTAAAAATAGAATGATTAGTAAAATATGTAAATATAAAAAGAAACAAAATGATCCCCATGCTGTCTGATCAGCATCTTGATATGCCACACCGTGAGGTGGATGGATTATCTCGGCAAAGGAGAAGTGCTCACTAACACAGATTTTGAGAGATTTGTGACCGATATTTGAGAGAAATAGGCCTTTTGTGTACATAGAGAAAGTCTTAGATCTTTGAGTTCCGCTGATGATGAATCGGGGCAAAAACAACAGTGTTGCGTTTATAATTTTGTTCAGTGTAAATAATTAAGCAGTAATTAGGATGTTTCGACCTGCGTTAGAGAATGTAATTGTTGCTGTTTGTGTCCCATAGTGTTGTCACATGATGGTCTGAAAGTTCTTTCTGGTGCTGTGGTGGGATATTAAGAGGGTACGCACATTTTGCTTTGCTATAGAGACAACAAAAGCAGTGTGGTCATGTTTGCATCATCATGTGATAATGTTACAGCACCTTTGTTGTCATGCTGAGTAAAATAGTGGAGGGGTTTGTGTGCATCTCAGAATAAACTGTGAGACACTGAAATGGTCACCCAGGTCAGTGACGGGGAGCTCTACAGCTCTGACAGCAGGAATGTGTTTCTGAGGACAACCAGCAAACACCTCTGCTACGATAACTGAGACTAGGACACCAGCAGCATACCCACTGATGTTCCCTGAACAGCTCGTTCAATCCATTTGTCTTGCACTGAATCACCCATTTCCCACCTCATGGCCTAATGTGATTTCTGTCGTATTTTCTCCCAGCCAGACGCAACATGCACGTCACTGGGTGAAACCACCAAGGGACTAATCTGTGCCTATGATCATGACAGCACTGACGCACTGGCACTACTTCAGATTTGTCTGAAAGCAACTTAAAAAACAATTTAAAAAATCATCAGTATAGATGTCTGAAGGACTGTATGTAAGAATGTCTCAACAACTGACTTCAACATTCTGTATTTTAATATTTCTCTCATTATACTAAATGTTCCTATGAGGACTTACAGTCTTATTGGTTGTGCTATAACCATAGGATCATACAGGGTAATCACTCTATTCCCTAGAACTTTCAAGACATTCACAAAATTCAGCAAGGAAAGGCTGGCAGCGGCTGAATGCAAATATAACGCAAGACATCCTTACATATAAGTTGTAAGATCTCAATCATCTTCAACTTACGTGCATTTTAACATTAGAAATACACGATATACAGCTAATTATTTTATATATCTTAAACAATTGATTGATTAATTAATCAGCAGATCAATTTTTCTAACATTTTATAGACTAATTATTGAATTGATTAATCAAGAAAATAATCATCATTGCAGTTGCTGTAAATTTGGATGAACTGATAAATCATTTAGTCTAGACGCCCTTTAGGATTTCCAAACCGAACAGTTTTTGAATGTCTTGTTTTTCCGACCAACAGTTTAAAACCCACAGCTGTTTAGTTTACATGATATAAGACATTTGAGAAGTGCTTGCTTTGAGCAAAAATAATCAAATAATTCTGGCTTACCACACATTAACACTGACATATGATCAAGCAAATGGACTTTTAATAGAGTACGTTTCCTTTTACATCCCAACATTCAGATAGTGAATTTTGGGACTCAACTATGGAGTTCATTTTCTTTCAATATATTTGTGTGAACAGATTTGCGATCGGTGTGTAAATGTGTAATCTGTAAATATACAACACTGTCTACAAACACAAAAAGAAGATTTGTAAACTCACAAAATATTTTGCAAATATTAAACAGATCTGCAAATACACAAAAGAAATGAAAAAAATCTGTGAATATATTTAATAATTTACAAATAAATAAACCACATTTGTGAATATCTTTGTAACATTTGACACTTTCAAACTGGCATTTGTGAGTCCAGCTTTATTATAGTATTTGTCGATCTCAGTTCTTCACACACGGAGTTTTGAAACAAACTTTCCACCGGTGGAAAGAAAATCGACACTCTTTTTCAGAGAACATGTCACGCTGCCTGCTGACGACGTCATTTCCGCATTTCAAAGTACAGCAGAGCCACCTGAAAGCGCTAGCTTGATGCTGTCGCTAAGGAAATATCAGCTGCTCTCAACCAAAAGTGCATGCAGACTGAAATTTAACCGTGACTAAAAACTAACCTTGACCGTTGAGCTAAATGTTTCTTTAAATGTTCATGTTGTTGAGGATGTTTTATGCTTGTCAGTGGGGTCCATTTAGCTAACGTTATGTAAAGCAGAGGAGGAATCGGTGGGAGCTGAGACAACCACATTTTTCTCAGAAGAGGACAAGAAGAAGGAGGAGAGTAACATGGAAAATACCCCAAAACAACGATCAGCAATAACTAATCATCATTAGGCTAGTTTAATGTAAACAATAAAACCTTTTATATTCCACCTGCAAGCCTTGTTGACCTCCAAACTAATTAAAAGTGATTCTTCATATCAATGTTCCCAGCATGCCAAAAACTATGATACTGTATGCTTTGTTTGGCTAAGCTTGTCTTCTCTTTAAATGCAACTGAAACCTGGTTGACTAAACACAATGCAGATTTCTATGACTTTAACTATAAGTATATAGATGATGCAGAGAAGACCAGATGGGTGGGGGTGTCTCATAGTTCAACCCTAGCCTGGTCTATGAGAAAAAATAAGATACTGAGAATGATTTCACCCTTTCTGCTGAGGCTGAGATTGTTGAAACCCTCCAGACCATTATTGTATCTATAGAGCAGCAGCTCTCGTTTGTCCGTATTCAGTACTGACCTTGCAAGTGTTCTTGATGTTCTTGATGATGAATTCTAACGAAGGGGAAACTGATATTTATTGTAAATTTTAACACTAATAATTTAGTTAAGGACTTTATTGACACAGTGTACTCTCATCATATTATATTTATCCTGTGTGATTAAAGACCCAACCAGAGTGACAGCAAACTCTGCCGCCCTGATCTTTACAAATGTGTTGGGTAATAACATGAAATCAGGAGTTGTGTGCACGGATATTGCTGACCATTGTATGATCCATCTAATAGCATTCTAGGAACTGTGTTTTCAGAATGTATCTCTCAGGCCCATGATGTGTTTTACATTACATTACATTTTATCCAAAGCTATATATGTCAGAGGTCACACGCCTGTGGAGCAACTAGGGGTTAGGTTACTCAGGGACACAGTGAGGAATTGAACCAGAGTTTCTCACACCAAAGGCATGTGTCTTATCCACTGCACCATCACCACACCCCGCTTTACCTCCTTGACTGGTGTCTCTGAAATCATAAACGGACCAAACCACGGAGGCTGTACAAAAACGAATTTAAACAAATTGAAACGTAATTATAATCAATTAATCTGATTATTATTTCTTAAATAATTGATTCATTTGTTTTGTACCAATACTTACTAATAAGTTTTCTGTTGACGACCCGATTAACAGCCAAATCATTTCAGTTCTGAAAATCACAACACATTTAGACACATCCTCTGCAAATGTGGCTAAATGAATCCTTCCAGTGAAATTTATACAATTATAATACCCATAACAAAAGTGATATAAAAAAATACAGTCTGGCATGATAAGGTCATTGTACTGCTGAGTGCCATAAACACGTATAACCACAGGAGATAATCAATATCACTGAATACCATGAGGTCATATTAGTGCCATAGACACTGAACACCCATCAGGAATATAGATATAGGCTATATAGAATATTTGAATGAGCCCCTGAACCACAGAGGTCCCTATAGCAACATTATAATACCATTATCATAATTGCATCAGAGGAGAGGGTACCGGAACACCTAGATTCTCGGCTGTCTTGGAGGCCCTTAGTAGCTTCACAACCCCAGCCTGTGTCTGAATGACAGCAGGGAGCAGCAGTTCCTTACCTGTCAAGCAGGTGCTCAACGCCAACAGGGCCGCGAGCACCGCAGCCTGGCCGTGCAGCGGGGCCCGCATCCTGGGCAGAGCTCCGACGACTGACAGGGAACACGGAGACCGACGTAAGGAGGTGCAGGAGAAGGCGGCGGCGGAGGGGAGTCTGCGCTGATCATTCCCCCATTCCCTGGTGCTCAGGGAGGAGAGGGCCCCGAAAAACGAAATAAATAACGGAGACAATAAGAAACCCAAAAGAGTTTACGAGAGCACGCTGCCGGCGACAGTGATGATACCAACCCTCCTGTGGATTTGCCGCAGGGTGTCTGCTCTCCACCGCGGACCTGCAACACGGATGCACAACGCTGACTGGCTGACTGATCGTGGTGACGTCAACACGCAGCGCGTCCTCTGTACTGCCTTCAGGTGCTGCTGAAGATTGAAGGCAGCCACGCTGAAAGATAACTCACTACCGCTAACCTGTGTCCTCCATGCTGCACGTCCTCGGTGGTAGTTTTACATGAGGTTTTCAGGCACTCACCGGCAAGGGCGTCACTTTGTGTTAAGAAGCGGTGGGCTCAGATGCGGGGTGTGACGACACACTTAACGAGAACAAGACCAGATGAATAACACTATATTGAAGAAAAAAAAATGAGTGCCGAAATATATGCGTAACCCTTCCCCAGAAAATTTTGAGCATTAAAATCTTAAGTTCCTGCATTCTGGAGATATTTCTGCATTAATTTATGGTGGAAATGTCTTTATTTATATTAAGGGAATAACACAATTCTGGTAACTATTCAAAATATTAAAATATAATGGAATAAAAGGGTAATCAGTAGCTTGGTTTTTTTGGACGATGCACAACCCTTTGTTTTATATTGTGTTTTACAAAACATAGCCTAAAACGTTTAAGGCCACTCTCTCCCGAAGGCTGCATGTACGTGCCGGAGTTTCTTCCTACAACTTTCGTGTTGATGTGCTGCTATAGCAGATGCTTCAATAAATTACATGTAGAATTGTTCGCGGTTGAAAAAAGAACACCTCTCTTCCCCCTCCTCCAGTCTTGCTTTAGCTTTCTGGCAAACAGCTGACTTGAACAGCAACAGGTCCGGTGCCGCTGAGCTGCCGCCCAGTCGCGCAGCAGTAAGCAGTGTTACTTGGATTAGTAACTGTAATGTTATTACCGTTTTGGAAATAGTAATCCCTTACAATACTAGTTACTGGGAGACATAATATTGCAGTAATGTGTTACTGCCCAATACTGTCCAAGACATTTTAAAAGTTCCACCATGACCAAATTATTAGTAAATTAAAAGTAAATTACTAGTTACTTCATTAATAGGTAAAATAAAATAGTTGTGTTTCTACAGTAGGCTAATTTTATTTTTGATGCTGAAAGTGGTTGATACTTGATTACTAATAAGCACATTTTTCAATGTAAAGCTATTACTTGTAATAATTTTTACTGTGTGGCATTGTTACTTTTGTTACTTAAATAAAATATCTAAATACTTCCTCCACCACTGCTCAACACATTATATTCTGCAACTGTTCAACCATTCCCAACCAGAACATGCACTTTAACTATAAAGCAAGGATTTTTGTCATCAGTATACATCCTTCCTATGTGTTTTCTGGACAACCTGTTCATCTTCACAAGAATTGTGATGTGCATTGCTAAGGACTCATGGGAATACAGTGTCAATATCTGCAAGCAATTGCAAGAAGCAATGTTTTGTATTAGTAAACAGTCATATGCCTCCTATGCCTAGAGTAGTAACAACAAAGACCATGTAGACCAACTTATAATAATTAATCGATAATGATTTATTATCAATAATATTTGTATCACGTGTAAAATAAATTTAAAAGTACATTGGTCAAAAAGAGAAGGGGATGCAAAATAATAAATACAATACGGGAGTGGGGAAATCAGTTAAGACTGATGAAATTTTATGAAATTATGTGAAATGAAGTTCACTGGTCCATGTAAGTATTCATACATAATATAAAAGCTTTCTTTGTTAAGGGATAAACTCATATTATTCTCACCAACACAAAAGAATTTGTCAAGTCTTGTGTCAAGTCAGTATGTATACTGAGACAATGAATGAATTTTAATGAATGTAAGTTTGAGATGAAAAATGAAAGAAAAAAAAAAAAAAATCACCTTTGAGACTTTTCCACATTCAGTAAAGTATTTCCTTTTGGATAATTAGGTCAATAATAACCCATGAGTTTCCAATAGCACAGACTGTATTTACATCAACAAATGTCATTAAAAAACAATGCCAAAGGTTACTGAAGGCCACACGGTAGTTAAACAAAACAGACTTTGATCTATATGTATTTCACCAAAAGCGCCTCAAGTAGCCCGTTGTATGTGTTATAACACACCTTTATGGACTCAAGGTTGTCCGTGTGCTCACATTTATACCAGGTGAAGAAAATAAATTGTGGAACTTAAGTGGATCGAAAGCTTTTTCTTTCTGACGCAAAGTTTAAGTTTAAATTATACAGAAAAAAAACTACATTTAACAAAATGACGACAGCACCTGAGCCCTGCGGTGAAAATAATCTGCAAGTGATTACTATGCCTGGAACTGGTGTGAAAACTAAAAAGACATTTCATGCTTTTTAAATGAAAG